CTGACATATTATGGCATGCAATACATGGCCATTTCTTCCAATGCTTCCTTATCGAAAAAAAGGAGCTCCGTTGGCGTCTCCCTCTGCATCGCCGCCAAATAGGGCTGATAGTACCAGATAGCATCCCTGCTCAAGCGCCATGAGCCGGCCCTCAATTCCAGTAACAATAACAGCAACAACCTGATTTTTGGGTTGTGATTCAATTCCAAGAACATCATCGTAAATATTCCGAATATGGAATCTAATTCTTTCCCATAATTCCACTCTATAGCCTCTCCCCGCATGATTAGATTCTTAATTAGCATCATTATGTCATTTATTAATCTGGGTTCATCCCATTTCTTCAGCATGTGGGGCCACAACTCTCTCATCATTGTCACCATAAATGCGTCCGAATAAATTTCATCACCTGATCCACTCTTCGTCTGCAGACGAGGTGTCGTCATATTCGTGTGGTAGTTCATTTTTTACACACAATCCAATATTTATTTTATAATCAAATATAATTTTATATTTATTTTGTTTTAATTGAAAGAATGTCAATCGCAAACAAATGAATTTATGGGTTCTGAAGTTCGTACAAACAGCCCTCTCGATTTACCAACATAATTATAAATAAAAAAAAAATTTAAATTAATATCAGACAGTAAGTTCAAATATTAAATATGTTTGGTGCGAGTTTCCTTTCAACATATAATTTATTTTTCATATAAAATACTAGTTGCACCTGTCTAAAAATAAAGTAATACTACTCGTTCATATAAAATCCGGGACAGGGCAGAAAATATTTATGTTAAATGACTTAATATGATTTAAAATAACAATTATTATTTAAAGATACAATAAAAACGGTTTTCACTTGAATCAAGATAGATCTTATCTGTTCTGTGTAGTTGAGGTCCACACTTAAATAAAATAAATTTTCATAACACGAAATAAATAAAATGAAACTATTGATTACTGTTTACGTCCACACTTAAATAAAATACATTTGTAAATTTTTAAATAAAATGTTTATGTAATTCAGCAGTAACTTGCAAACATATTGCCCCTTGGTAATCTTCAAACATACTTGCAATTGAATATTTAAATATATTTTTAGAAATTACTGCTATAATCTACAAAAAAAACTTAATACATCATAAATTAAACTAGTGGTGCATGGCATCGTGCCTTAAGGCAAATTGCTGGAAATTATAAGAGCTTAATTATCATGCAAAAAAATTATTAGAGCGGTGATTTTGTCGTTTTTTAAATATTTTTTTTTCAGTTTTTTGCCATTTGATACCCAATTTAGACCTTATTGTTAGATTCGTTTTCATTAGAATTTTTTTTGTGGTCATGTGCTTTTTTTCAGTAAAAACGAAAATACTATTATTGAAATAAGCAATTAAACATTTTATCTAAATGGCTAAATCTCAATTCAAGTTGATAATGTACGTATCGGAAAGATCATGCAACTTGCCATAAGACAAAATGCCACTAACACCTAGTCAGTATAGACTTAGTCCATTTATATTTGCTTTAAACGTAAAACTATTATAGTTATTTGAATCGTTAAAACCGTTCTGATATCTACTGTTCAACTTTCCATCCATAGATAAAAGAAGAGTATGTTTCCATCTTTGCTTAGCTGAGAAAGACACCAAGTAAATTCTAAAATAACGTTAATTTTTAAAATTGCACAAACTTATTAAAACTAATTCACTATAAGATTATTTTTTTTAATTTTAGGCTCTGCATCTTTTAAATGGCTGGACCTGCCTTTGCCAAAAACTAATCAGCATATCTCCCTATCGGAATCGGAATCGAATGTTTTTTGAACCATTCAAATCGGTTGATCCGTGCGCCCGAAAACGTTAACGAAAAAATGCGGACACACAAAACACACACACATCTATTTTTTCTGAAGTATCCAAAAATGTAGAGAAACCTCTGAAATATGAAGATATGCAAAAATTTTCATTTTCTATTTTCGGCCCATCACTATAATTTACTCTACAAAAAATTAATAATAAATAATCATTATAAATAACTGTGCAATACAGAAAAAAATATGTTGTATACGGTAGATCAATGGGCCATCTTCTCTTCAAGCGCTTTAATTTTTCAGCTGACTGGACTATTTGCATTTCAGGATTGACGTGTGCATCCAATTTATCTTGAGAAATTAGGCTTCTGTTCTTAATGACTTCCTCTACTGTAGGAATTTTTAGGTCCTTGTGGATCATGTAACTGGTCATGAACCACGAAGCAGATCATACTCAGTATTTTGCTTTTGGCTCTCTGAATTATAAGAATTTTGCTCTTGTTGGCACAGCCCCATAGCTCTATCCCATATGTCCATATTGGTATTAGCTTTGCTTTGTATAATAAAAGCTTATTTTCTAGAGAGAGTTTTAACAACCTTCCTATTAGCCAGTTCAGTTCTTTAGGTTTTAAATCTATTTCTTTCTTTTTCATTATTATGTGGATTTCCCAGTTTAGTTTACTATCTATATGCATTCGTAGATACTTTAGGATTCCTGATTTGGAATAACTAATACATTATTCAAGTAAAAGGCAAGCCTTGTGTGGCTTCTTAATAATAGGTATGATAGGATGTTGTGGATTGTTAACATTTATTTTGGTGTTTTATTTTTCTAGCCATAATTGTATTTCAGATAGAAAATATTGAAGTAAAGAAGTAGCTGCTATCACAACCTTATGATTTGAATAATGTCAATGTCATCAGCTGATTGTTAAGGCCAAACCGAATGGCATATCATTCGTGAAGAGCAGATATAATATTGGACTCAGAACACTGCAAGACAAATTTTAAATTTTTTGTTAGCAAGTCGTTAACTTAGAAAACCTTTTGCTTACTTACTACATATTCTTTCTTCAAATAGATGTGACATCAGACAAATTAAACAAAAAAACTAAATGCATTAATAATTAACTAATTAATTAGTTCTACTTAGCAAAACAAAAATTGAACAAAAAGTTTCTGAATTTTCAATTAAAATGCATGTAAGTAAATGCATAATATATTAATACATTGCATTTACTTACGTGCATTTTAATTGAAAGTTCAAAAACTTTTTGTTCAATTTTCGTTTCGCTAAGTAGAACTTCAAGAATGATTCTAAACCAATAGTTCAAGTTTATCTAAAATCTCATATAATTTAATATTATTGCAGATAAAATTTTGCAACTAGCGTACTTTCAAATATTTTCCAATGCATCGGTTAGTTCCTATCTGGCTTCAATCAATATCCATTTTACAATATCTATAGTAAAAATAAACTATAGTTTAGAATAGACAAAAATGCTGCTTATTAATCTTCATATTTGAAAAAAATACCAACCAACAACGTATGATTATACCCTCCCTGTAACATACCACAAACCAAAATGTATTAAAGTCGTTATCATCGAGTGGTACCCTATGGGTAACATTGAGTGGTGGTGCCCCATTGGTAACACTAAGTGGTTCCCCGGAGAAAGAGCAAAAAGCAGATTCTAAGTAGTTCACCATCAGTCAGGCAGTCTCCATTCCTTCTCAATCAGATTCAATTCATTATTTAATATCTGTTCTGTCCTAATTTTATAATTATAGTCCAAATAAACGTTAAATTTGTAAAGTGTGTTTATATTGATTATATCACTGATGCAACTGGCAAATCTGTAGAATCCATTAGACTTCTGTTCAAAGACAAGTATCATCTGTAAAAATAAATCGAAAAGCTTGAGTGATGTAACAATAAATAAGTAAATATCCACATAAATTTACCTGTTGAGAAAAAATGTCAATTTCCGAAACAACTGAATTTATCACTATCCTGCTAATGTGTTAATAAAATATAAATTGAATCACTTTTCCCAACCACATAATAATAATACATAAATGTAATAATATTTTAGATAGTAAAAGATAATTATAAACAAAATAGTTTTTGTATTATGCATCTATTCACTTATTAAAGAAAAATTAATAAAAATAATAATGTAAGTCTTTCATCCTCTTCGTCAGTGGATTAAACACACAACTTATTTAAAAATATACAAAATCCACAAAAAATGAACAAAAGCCTTGCTTAATGGTCATATTTACGAAAAAGAAGATATTAAAAAATTAAACAAAAATTAAATAAAACTTATTCATGAGTATGGAAAGTAATGTGAAAGTTGTTAAAAAGCCTATTACATTTGTTTAAATATTACATTTTTAGTTTTTACTTTTTATTAATTGGATAGATGACTGTTAAAAAATCTTTTTTGTTTATTAATAGAAGAAATATACACAGATATAAGAAAGGTATTTTATTTAAAGTCAGTAATAAGTTACTTATATAAATATTAGTTACATATAGTGGAATAAATATTATAATAAAATACACACAACAATAAATGAATAAAAAAGGTGAAATAAATAAGTTAGTAGTGCAAGCCAATTAATTGAGAAAGAAATAAAGTCAATGCATAAATACAAAAAAACTTATTTCGAGTAATGTTAAAACATTTGAAACCAATAATTATAAAAGATATTAGTAAATAAATGTTTTCTCATATTAGAAGGTTTGAGAAAGTTTAGCTGACTAAATCTATACATGCCAGATATAAAAGGATAGTTAAAAAGTGTCTGCAATCAAAATTTTTGTAAATAATTGAATTAAGCTCTTTTGATATAATATAATAAAACATTATCATTTGATTGCAAACAATATAAATAATTAAATAAACACATTTGAGTTGAATTACTTTTTTAATTATAAATTAAAAAGCCTTTATATAAATCAGTATTATTTTGGAGTAAATCGTTTATATCTTTGTGGTAATATAGTACTGTATCTGCAGTAATATAGTTGACAGAATGGTAGGAGATTAACAGCACAGAGAGAACCCAGAAGTATTTGAAAACAAAATCGCAATGTGTTAAGAAATAGATATGCAAAAGTTATCCAAGGATTCATTCCCAAACAGTAATAACTACTAATGTTGGCCTTCTTCGGCAAATCTTACTGGATACTAACTCCAACTCTCTTCTGTCCTTCTATCTCACTTTGCATAACTCCCTTCATTGAAGCCTTATCAACTCCAACAATTTCCTTAAAACCTTCTTTGGGATCTGCGCCAAATCCTAAAATATCATTCACAATATCGGCACAATTGGGATTATCCAACATTGTTCTGTGATTGCCTTCGACTACTTTAATTTCCATTTCTTGAATCAGAAATTCGTCCATATCATAATTCTCTGCGGCATCTCGCATAGAAAGAACAGTTGGCTTAACTAAAGTTACACGAGATTTGATTTTTTGTTCTCGCAAACGTGATGTGTCGTTGTATTTGGCTGATCGGCATCTCACCTGGTAAAAGAAAAAATAAATAAATTCTAGTATGTATTTATTGACCTCAGCATTTTAAACTGTTATTAGTAATTGATCATCAATACTATTACTTATTAAACTTACCAACATGGCTTCACACAGCTGCCTAACATAAGTCTTAGAATATTTGCTTCTCTGCTCATCGTTCGCTTCAATGGAATCTGTCATTGCAACTACCCGCTCTTCCCAAGTTTTAGTTTTAATCAACGTTTCCTGAATGACATCCATGTTACCAGGTGAAAGAATTCTACGAATTGTAAGCAACACCTAAAAATAATTTTATTAAACATTTGTTAAGTCCAATAGATATATTACTTTGTTACCTGAATCTGCAAATATGTATCATCATCAGCTGTACCACCAACAACATGCACATCTACCAATCCTTTCATTACTGCAGGAGCACCGTCCAAAAGAACTAAGTTGACATTTATGCCACGAGCTTCTAATTCTAGCATGGCTTCTAAAATTGGAAGTGTGCCGAAGGAATAGGCTACTATGTTAAGCGGTTGGTTAAGATCCTGCAAACAAATGATATTATGATAACGCCAATTTTAACTGTTAGAGTTCATAATGTAACTAGCTGTAAGTGGAATTGTGTCTTGAGGCAATTATGGCATCGTGCATTAAGGCAAATTGCTGGAACTTCCAGTACCGTAACGAAATGTTCGAGGAATACTGAATGTTTTCAAGTCTAATATTTATAAGAATTATATAAACTGAATTGCAGAGTTGAAATTATTTGTAAAGTATATTAGAACTATAGTCAGAATTAAAAATAAAATCTGAAATATTTTCGATATACAAAAAACTAAAAAAAAAAAAAAAGTTGGAATTTTTTTTTTCAAAAATCAATTATTTTGTTAAGACAAGCAGAAAGTTCTTTGAATCATTTGAATCGGACGCTTAGTTCTCTCAAAAACTGCCATTTTTTACATATTTAGCTCCGTATCTTCGAAATGGCTGGGCCTGCCTTTGCCAAAAACTAATAAACACTTCTCCCAATCATTACTAATTGAATGTTTTTTAGATGATTCAAATCGGATACTCCGTTCTCTCAAAAATTCGATTTCTATTTTCTGCACTCTTTGCTCCGTATCTCCGAAACGGCTGGACCTGCCTTTGCCAAAAACTAATCAGCTCTTTTCCCTATCAATAGGAATCGAATGTTTTTTAAACCATTCAAATCGGTTGATCCGTGCGCCCTAAAACGTGACTGGAAATTTGTATCCATAGATATATACACACACACACACATACACACACACACACACATCCATTTTTTCTGAGGTATGCCAAAACGTTCAGAAACCTTCAAAACGTCGAGAAATGTAAAAATTTTCAATTCCAATTTTCGGCCCATTACAATAACTTACCCTACGGGAAGTTAAAAAATAAGATTTTCACTTGCCTTATGTAAGTCCAACATATAAGGCAACAGCGCTTGTCCCATCTCTCTGATATTGTTTCCTTTCTGAGGAACTGTTAATTGCAAACATTCTACTCTTGCCTTCAATCTACTAGCAAGAGCTCTGAAGACAGATGCAGCTCCTTCAATCCCTGGCACTATGAACACGAGAGGCTTCTCGGATTCACACTGACTTGTCAGATGGACCACCGGCATACTGGCTACTTCTTCAGAAGTCACACCTTCCATGAGAAGGAGCAATCCGCGCATAGGATCCACCTCGGCAGGATTTGCAGCTTGAGTTTCTATCATATAATTTATGTCCAAGTTAATAAAAATGGTTTATATACTAATTGCATTAGCTATTGCCACACTGTATTTACCTCCTTCAGCAGCTTGTTCAGAAGATATATCCCTAGCAGTAGCTAATTCTTGCAACCGGGCAAAGGTTAAAGATCTAATATCTTGTGGTGTTAAGAAAACTTCAAATTCTCGTTCTAAGGCTTGTTTGATTTCTACGGCCATCAAAGAATCCATACCCAATTCAGCCAATGAGGAATGAGGACTTACGGTTTTTAAATCTCTTAAACCTAAAAAATAGCATGAAGTGTGAATGTAAGATTTAAATAGTGCATAAGCTTATAGTAACTTATTTATTTCTTATATTAATCTGACTTAAATTACGTCTTTAGCATCTTGCTCAAATTCTTACCAAGGATATTAAGAACGGTTGGCACAATGCCACCAGCACCACCTGCTCCAGTAGCTCGTTTTTCAGCTACAACCATAGAGGCTACGACAGGGTAAGACTGAGCTAATAGAATATCCATCGCTTCTAAACAGCTCCCAATCCTTTGTTGCAATGTTCCTCCAATCTCCAATTCTTTATGGTCATCCTAAATATTAGAAAACTAGCTGTAAGTGGAATTCTGTCTTAAGGCAATTAGGGCATCGTGCCTTAAGGCAAATTGCTGAAACTTCCCGTACCAAATTTTTTTATTTTTTTAAAAAACGATTAACATTTTTGAAAAAAAAATTACTTCGAAAAAATAAGATTTTTGAGAAACTATAAATTTGACATAAAATTACTTTTTTTTTGAAAAAAAAAATTGAAAAAAATTATTAAAAAAAAATTTTTTTTTAAATCTTTTTTTTTTGAAAAAAAAATGTTTTCTTTATTTTGACATATGTTGGAAGATCTGAACTTTTTTTCAAAGCAATCGTACTGCTTTAACTGCATAGAGACAAAATATAAAACGCGTAAGCGCCGCGTCGCTGTCTAACGGGTAAACATTGGTACGGAACCCATAGGAATGTGAACAAAATTTATACTTATTGTTAAAATCTCTATAAAATATCTGATAATTTGATGTGCATATGTCTAATGATCATTTTTGACCGCCAAATGGCATTTTTTTTTTACTTTTTTCGTTAGATCTCCGAAACCGCTAAACCTGCCCTTATGAAAATTTGATCAAATCTTCATCTTGTCAATACAAGTAAAATGTTTTTTGAGTTATTAAAATCGGACGCTCCGTTCTCTTAAAAACTGAGGTACCGTTTTGGTCACTTTTTGCCCCATATCTTCGGAACGGCTAGACCTACCTCCGCCAAAAACTAATCAGAACGTCTCCTTATCAATACGAATCGAATGTTTTTTAAATTATTCAAATCGGTTGATCCGTGTTCCCGAAATCGTCGACGAAAATTTTTATCCGCACACACATACATACACGCACACACACACACATACACACACACACATACATCCATTTTTTCTAAGGTATGCCAAAATGTTCAGAAACCTTTGAAACGTCGAGAAATGCAAAAATTTTCATTTTCGATTTTTTTGCGATTACTATAACTTGCCCTACGGGAAGTTAATAATTAGATAAAAAATAATCGGTTGGATCAAAGGCCATAACGATTGTTATAGTTAATCAATAAAGTAGCAAATATTCTATTGTCACATCGTGTAGACAAAATTTAAGGAAAGATCAATGCAAACAATAGTCATAAACAATTAATTAGATTTTACAGTTGTGGAAAATTGAATATAAATAATGTAATTTTTTATATTTATCATATTTTCTCAAATTGATGGAAGATATGTGGCATTGTGGCATAACTTATTAGATATTGTGATATTTTACCTGCATGTCAGCAACCAATCCAACTTCACCGACAGCTCCCCATTGTATAGCTAAAGCTGGAAATCCTGCCTTGTGACGATTTTCGCAAATTCGTTCCATTACTGAATTAGACATACCGTAGTTGCACTGACCAGCATTACCTCTACCACAAGAAACCTGTAATAAAATTGAACCTAATTAATCAACTTCATTTAAACTTTCGATCAATCAATCAATTTAAAATACACACGCGACTTTACGTAGTCTGTAATAAAAAATTTAATATGATTTACAATGAAAATTTTAAACTATATTCCCGATAAAAATAAATTTAGAAAAAAGCCGAAAATTATTTTAGAATTTGGAACGTAGCAAAACAGATTTGGAAACAAAACTTGTGGAAAATCACACACCTACTTGATATTTATATATCAAGCTGATTTTATTGAGCAAACCATGCTTTTCAACTAATGTCATCTAAAAATCTGAATTTGTAAAACTGAGCATCGTTTATATCTTATATATAAAAATGGATCGCAAAATGTGTTGGTAAGCGCTTAACTCAACAACGCCTGGACTAATTTGGTCAATTCTTTTTTTAAAATGTTCGTTGAAGTCCAAGGATGGTTGTTACGGCGAGAAAAAAACGAATAATTGCCGGGAAAACCCTAAAAATAGCCCTTTTCTTTTTTAATCGAGTAGGCAACGCAATTTGTAAAAAAAAATGATCTGTGTCATGACATTTTGTGGAGTTTTTGGTAATCTAATTTTGAATATATTTATATAAATATAGATATATCTTTCTATTAATCAAGCTATACTGGCAGCCAAAAACATTGATGTACATTAATTAAATTTCAAAATTCAAGAACAAATTACAGGCGAATCAGTTGATTCGACAACTAACCAAGACGATCCACCGGAGTTTTTAAATTCGCTGGATTTGCTAGGATTGTCACCTCACAATCTTCAATTAAAGGTTGGATCGGCAATTATAATGTTGCGAAATATCGACCAACTATATTCAAAGGATAGTATAAAGCAGAAGATGTTCTCGCACCATGCATTCCAATGCGTTTCCAGTGCGTTTATGGTATCATTAAGTGTTTGTGGTATTAATTTAGAAAACCCATGTTTCTCACATGGAAAATTGTATGTTGTTTGTTTCCGTATTGGAAAACCATCAGATTTGTTTGTCTATGCGCCAGGTAATCAAACAAAAAACATCGTTTATCACAAAGCACTACAATGAAAATTGAACTGATTTTTGAATTATGATTTACATTATTACAATTACTTACTTTTAAATGCTTATAGTGTTTAATTATTTTTAATTCACACCGAATGATTACCAGGGTGACGGTTCTGTTCAGGATAATTTTTTGCAAAGAATAGAAAAAAGGTAGGCACAAAACACCGCCACATTACAATGTTTTTGACAGGACGAAGTCTGTCGGGCCGGCTAGTTTTTCATATAAAAATGTACCTACACTAATTAACAAATTTAATATTAGTGCTTATTTAAGATTTGCAGATTTTTTACAAAATAATTTAATAAAATAAAAAATAAACATAATAATTATTATTTTTAAAAATAAAAAATGTTATTGTTAATTTATTACTTAAGGGGGTATTCTACTGTAGAATTTTGAAAAAATCCAAAAATTTTTTTTTTCATATTTTCAAAGTTTAGTTATTCAAAAATATGTCATTAAAAGGATTTTCCAAAATTACTATTATTTCCTGAGTTATAGCCGTTTTCGTGACGTGGCCTCGGTTCGGGTCCGACTTGTCTCAAAACTTTGAACGCGTTTTTCTCGGAACTACTTTTTTCGAGGTAAGGATATCTCGAATTCTAATGAACCGATTTACTTCAAATTTGGAGAAAATTTTCCCTATACATCGCTTTATCGTATGGACCTTGCCAAAGCTATAACTTTTCATTTAGTATTTTTAAAAAACTCGGAATTGTTAAAAAACATGAAAAAAAAAATTTTTTTTCAAACTGCCGTCATTCAAACAAAATTTTTTTTTAAAACTTATCCAAGGTTCATACGATAGCGGCATCTATTATAATTAAAAATCCATCTATTTTTTATGTTTCAAATCACCAGGAGGGTTGGAATCATGTACGCCAGGGCACCCTCTTTTTTTGGAAACCCCCACTTTGACTGCTCATAACTTTGTGAATTTTATTTTTTTTCTTTTAATATTTATTTTATGTAATAATAAAATATCAATAAACAAATGATAAAAAAATCGATAGTAAAAATATTATTTGTTTCCTTTATACAGCGCTTCAAAAACCGGGCGAAATTCATGACTCTACAGTAGAATACCTCCTTAAAAACTTCATATGGTTCATTTTTAAACTCACTGATGAAAAGACGACGAAATATTTCAATAACGGACACAATTCCCTTGTAAGTTCATCCAAATGTTTTGTAGCTACAGCTTTCGGCGCAAATGATGCTGTAAATTTCTCAACATTTTGATTTTCCAAAATAGCATCTTCAAGAACTACTGCTAAATTGAAAATGCCTGTAAACAATATAAAGATTTAATATGAATAACAGGCAGTTCTCCCTATATGAAGATATATTAGTATTAAGATAGCAAATCAAATATTTGTCTTATTGTTAATATGGTAAAAGTAGTATTTTAAGATAAAATTTACCTGCAACTGGTGCAATGGACGAGGCCATATGCAAAAGTTCATAACAGCCTTTTCGTGTAGTGATATCAGCTGTGCATATATCAACAGAAATACCATAACTGCGCCATACTCTAACCCTAGAAGCCTATAATCAACAGTACATTTTTAGAACCTCAATTGCACATTGGAATTATAAATTGTAGGTTACTCTACCTGGTATCCTGATTTAAGTCCTTTCCGAGAACTCAAAACCAGATGTCTGGCACCTCTAAGAGCAAGCCAATCAGCCAATTCTAAACCAAAACCTCCAAGACCTCCAGCAATCACATAACTCTTGTCAGGTTCACAATAAACTCTTGGACTTGCCAGCCATTGTTTATTTTCAGGCACAAAATCTTCTTCTGGTTCTTCCTCACGCATTTTCAACAGAACCTAAATAATTTTAGTTTATATAGTATAAGTCACTGATTGTGCTTGAAAACTTAAAAAATTAAAACCGAGATATCATGCTGCAATAAAAAATTGGTACTGCTTGTGGAATTAGAGATAGAATTTCAAAGGTAATCTCTTAAAAAATGCACTATGCTTACGAGCAATGTGCTTTGCGTTATTGATGATAGTTAATAAAGTACTGAATTTACAGTATACTATACAAAGAATTTTAAAAAGTGGGTTAAAAAGCATGTATAACAAAAATTGGATCTATAACTCTCTTGAAAAGAAAACAGCATTAATGTGCATAATTCTGAGAGGAAAAGAAATTGGATTGGACTCAATACAAAACTACAAAATTCTATATGATTGCGTAATAGTAATCACACTTAACCATATCAGTAGTCATCACTTTTTATTTATTATTTTAAAAAATTGTGCAGGTTTTTGCATTATGAAGAACATTTTATGCAAAGCCTGACCAATATTTAATAATGTATAAGTCCAATGACTATAATTGTACAATTTGCTTTATACTCAAATAAAAATTTAACCTTTCCAATATGTTTTCCTGCTGCCATATAACGGAAAGCTTGCTCAACATCATCTCTATCAAATACTGTTCTTGACAAAGGTCGCACAGCTCCTGTTGCAATACCATCATTCACCATTTTTCCTGCAAAAAAAAATTATAATAATTTTTTAATATTAATTTTAGCATCAAAATACATCAAATTTTTACTGTATTACCTATTCTGTGTTTCTCCCAAGCCTCAGCAGTAAACAAATGCTCCAAGGTAACTCCATGGAAAGAACTGCAATTCATAAATGTTCCTAGACCCAATGGGTTATCGCTTGCCAAATCAAATTTACCGATTTCCAAAAATCTTCCATGGGGAGCTAAGCATCTCAAAGAAGCCAGAAGTTTATCTTCAGCCAAGGAGTTCAAAACAATGTCAACTCCGCGACCGCCAGTTCTTCTCATGACAAGTTGTTCAAAACTGGTGTCACGGGAATTGCCAATGTCTTGATCTGAAAGGAATTATTATTTAAAAGATATCTTAATACAAAATACATCAGAAGAAAGAAACAAGTAAAAACGTATTACATAGACATTATAAAAAAAAACTACAATTCTTGAAAATGGCAAAATAAAGCATAAAGCTATAATATTACAGTGCATATAATTTCCTATTGCCAAAATATACATTACCATCTAATTCAGGGAACCTATCCAACAAGAACTGTCTCTTTTCCTCAGTTCCAACAGTAGTGATAATTTTACATCCAGCATGGAGACCAATGTTGATAGCAGCTTGACCTACACCACCACTTCCTGCATGAATTAACAAGGTTTGACCAGCAGTCATGTTTCCAGCTAATACTAAAGCATAGTAAGCTGTTGCATATACTACTGGGACAGTAGCTGCATCCTAGAAATGAATAATCCTTACTGTAATTGTGGTTGCATTTATTTGGCTGTATTAATTAACATTGTTTTCGTAATTTTGGAGAAATTAATACTGATAATGTTTTTAATTTACCTGTAAAGTCCAATGAGATGGAATGCCCCAGCATAGAATTGGATCAACATCCAGAATTGTGGCCAAAGCACCGCTTCCAACCAAACCCATAACTCTGCGGCCTTCGAAATAAAATGATTGTGAATAAATTATTACGCAACTTTTTACTGTGTTACAAAAATATTAAACTTACCATCGACTTCTCTTCCTGCGTATTCTAAACCTTGTACACACATCTGGTTAAGTCTTCCATGAGAAACTACTTCTGCAGCCAATTTACCAGTTGCTGTCATGATATCTCTGAAGTTCAGGGCTGAATAATAAACATGAACTAAGTTACCGGCGTTGGATTCCGTATCTTCAGTGCCATATCTAAAATAAATAAATATAACATTATTTCAAAATAAGAATATAATTAAAGAAACCAAATTGGCTTACTTCAAAGGTCCTTCAATCCATCTCATACTTGATAAATCTCCTCTAGTCATAACATTGGCATAACTGTGGCCTTTATCAACCAAGGAATCCTTGACTTGCAAATGCCGATAAGATCCCCAGCATCCATCTTTGAAAACATTGGATACTAAATCCAAATCTAATTGTTTACTGTATAGATCTAATTCAAGATCAAATGCTGGTGCTTTTGGATCAATGATTACTAGAGATCGAACTAAATCACCACCTTAAGAAGTAAAGACAAATTAGTAGGTTGCACAAAAAATAAGCTAGTAAAATATGTACTACAGAAAAAGATTTTATTTTTACCTGGCTCTTTTCTGACACAATTCACCAGTCCCATGATACCATTAGTATTCTGTTTCTCATTTAGCAATAAAATTCTACTATCTGCTATTTTAATTTGAGACTTTAATTCTTCTAACCAGCTAAACTTATCATCACTTTCATCAACTTTAATAACATGCCATGGTTTAGTCTTGTGAATTTTTCTTTGTAACAATAATAATATTTCGTGCGGCAATTTGTAAGATGCTACTAGATTTAATCCTGGACAAATGGCCGAAATCGCAGATGCGTCTAAGGAAAATGATAAATCTTCTCGTGATATAACATAACCATTTGCACGCAGAGTTGGTAATGCCTTTTCAAGGTCCTATAATAATTTATTTATTTAAAACTGGAGTACTTAAATTTAAAAGCAATAACTTTTAAAGTTAATTTACCTCTTTCTTATTTAATAGTGCTGTACCAATCAACAATGTGCTTTTACCATCTCCTGGTAACTTCTTATCTTCTGACAGATGAACACCAGCGCCTAAATCTGCGTTTTGTTGTTCTGATGGATTAGCAGTTTCTGCCCAAATTGTCATATCACTTTGCACTAGTGGCAGATCTTCTAAAGCAGACCTTAAGATTGGAGATAAAGGTATTTCCATAGAATTCACTTGCAAGTAATCAATTTCTGGCTGATCGCTGGAATCGCCTTCTTCCTTTTTAGGTACTTTAGGAAGTTTATCGACTAATTCAAATGCTTTGACTTTCAATATTGGAATATTTTCGAGAATCTGTTGCACAATGCATCTAAAAATAATAAATTAATTGCTCTTATTATATTACATTATTTTTTTTATCTTCACAAGAGTATCTACCTCACTGCATCATCAACACAATCAGTTTGCAAGTGGTTTGGTACAAAAACGTGCTTTTCTAATACTGGTTCACCTGCTGGCTTCTTTCTTGCAATTGCACTAGCTTTTAAACCACAAATTTCAACACCGCCAGCTCTTATAACACCTTGCAAAAAAAAATGTAAATACATGTAAAATAATTAACTTGCAAGCAGAAATAAAAAATAATATTTCAATTATAAAAGAATATTTAATTTTTGTTTACCTATATCTGGATGCAGCTCAACTTTGAAGGTTCTATCCTCTCCAAGAGCGTGAATAGCATGGATATGGGCACGTGTATCAATTTTCAATTTTCTGATTGAAGTAGGTACAAACAATCCTCTTGTATCTTCACAAAGAATTTGAAGCTGCATCATGCAGTCCATGAATGTGACCCAATTATGGGCCCATAATATGCGACCATCACAAGTTTGCTGATCGTAAGATACTACACCTTTGAAAGCACCGCTAGAAGGAAATAATTAAATTTAACTAAGTATTTACTACAAAGACCGAAATTCCAAATAAATTGGATTGGATTGAATTTGCCAACACCAAATAATAACTCTTTATACCTGTAATTATATCCCCTCAATCTCAATTCTTTATAAACATCTTTAGCAGCTAACGGAATAGAATCTGGGAAAGTGTCTCTAATAACTCTTTCTGGCAAATCAGGCAACTTGGTTTGCCTAATACCAGGGTGGTAAATTGTACCAGTTACGATGGTAGTACCACCTTCAAGAACCTAGACAAATGTAAATCAACTATCAATAAAAGTAAAGATGATCAAAATTTTATGTAGCTTATGGTAAAACTTAAGGTTTTCTTAGAACTATCATAATCAAATAATGTATCAAAACTCCTTATATTTTAGGTTTGATTTATAACTCACAATTTAACTTATGAATTTGATAAAATATATATACAATAATATCTTATATTATTTATTACCTCGAATTTTCCGGTGCCTTTTTGAATCATAATATCAAAATCAATCTTGCCATCTTTAGGAACATTGGTAGCGCGCAAAAATCGAATGTCCTCAAAAATACAAGGAACTTCTGTTAAGATTTCACCACGCATCATAGCAAATGTTTCCCATACTAAAGTTAAATAACCAGTAGCAGGGAATAAGTTACGTCCATCTATAACGTGACCGGTCAAGTATTCATTTTCTTGATCAAAAGCCGAAATGCAGATTGATCTTTCGCCTGTTTCTAATTTTTCCAAAGTTTTGTAGGAAGTAACATACCTAGTAAAAGTAAAGATAAATAGAACATTCATTATAATTTATTACATTTGTATATATATATATATATATATATATATATGAGTGAGTTCTTGAGGGCGATACATCAAACAAAGAAAAGCCAAGATTTATAAAATAATCTTTATTTCCAAACGTTTCGACATTCAATTTAATGTCATGACATTAAATTGAATGTCGAAACGTTTGGAAATAAAGATTATTTTAAAGCTTGGGCTTTTCTTTGTTTGATGTATCGCCCTCAAGAACTCACTCAAGATTTCAACATCAAAAAACTACTAAATCAAGATAATATAGATATAGATATATATAGATATATATCATGATTCTTACCAATCTCGTCCATGATCCCATCCAATCAAATGGGACAACATGGGTGTGCCTCTACCCACGGGCCACTCATGCCTATACAACTGGTTAATATCAACTTTTTCTCCTAAACAATGCAATTTTCCCATAGTTTCCAGAAATTGGCCAGCTACATCACATTCTTCACCTCTTCTGACATATAAACTTGCATAAGTCAAGCATTCAATCGATTCTTCTAAAACTCCTTTAAATTGTGGCATGAATGAGTTGATTTCAAAGACGTACGAATTTCCAGGAACTTTGGATAAAGCTTGCTGGAGTAAATTTGGATTAACTAAACTATTCACGTGATATAATGCGTTATGAGTTGAGTATTCGTTTTCTGTAGAAGTAGATACCCATCTCTCAGATCTTGCCAACGTTTCAAACATTGTACTTTGGTATGCCCTCAGCAAATCATCAGAAAGTTCTTTCATGAACTCTGAATTGTGGAATGGAACAACGGTTTCTTGAGATATGTTGTCGTGTTCGATTCCTTTAGAATCCAAAAATTTGAGGAAGGCCGCTACGTCCTTTTTGTGGCCACTGACTAATGTTGATTCAGGAGTTAAATGACATGTGACACTGACACCTTCGGTTAAAAGAGATGATACTATAAGACTGGACCGGTGGACAACAGCAGTGTAGAGGGCTGGTAGGCGATATTCAGCTATAATGCGAGATCTAAATATTTAGAAAATATTATATATAATACAAATAAAATGGAATATAGTGTTTAGTCAATCAAAATCAAATCTGTATTTCTAAATAACTATTAACAAATAACTAATCTCAAAAATATTGAAAAAAGTATGTTTATTATAAAGTCAATTTATGATATAATTGATTATGAGATAAAATTTCTATAAAACCTAATTTTTATTCGATGTTCCCAGTAAACATGCGATATGGCCACAACATCGTGGCAATATTTTATTTAGGTCGTGTGACATGCGGTTCCCATATTCATTGTCCTCGATATTTAATGGATACGGCCGCAAATTTATGTAACTATCGAACAACTATCGAGGTTCGGTCTCTGGCGCACGTGGCGTTCGTGATACATGAAAATCGACGTTGACCCACATATGTTTGTTTATTATGATAAGACCGTCTGACGTAAGGCGTTCACCCCAGTCATGACGTCATTGGCGAATGAAAACGATTCGGTCATGACGTCATACAAAATGGCGACTCATGACGTAATAGCACCTGAAAGTGATGACGTAATGCAATTAATATTCTTTTCTGTACGAATAAGCATTTATTTACGTGAATAATAAGAAATTTTACAATATTTAAATATTACAAATTAGAATTGTAGTTTTGAAATTATAAAATTTTAACATGAACTATACTAGAAAACTTTTTACAAATTATTCAATCTTAACATATTAATAACAGTATATTTAATGAAAATTGTTGTATATCTAATGAACGTAATTCTATTTTTGGGGCGTGAAGTGTGAAGTGTTGCATAAGTATTCTATCGCCACTTCCTTATACATCAAACAGCCTGCCTATTTTCATTATTTCATTCTATCGCCAGTTCATTGCCATCAAATGCCAGGATACAGATTATGCACATATGACATACTGCCCCAAATTTTGGAAGTTTTCTAAAACAAATTCAAACATAATGTGATTTACTGTATATAATATAATATATATATACAGCTACCATATGTGTAGCTACCTACATGTTCAGTGTACAAATCTCCATCATCTTAAAGTCGCTTTTACACATACATTTTTAACACTGACTGATTTCATTCTATCGCCAGTTCATTACATCAAATGCGAGGATACAGGATATTCATATATGATGTACTTCTTGGAAGTTTTCTAAAACAATTTGAAACATAATGTGTTTTATTGAATCTAATAATATATATACCACTCCATATGTGTAGCAACTTACATATTCAGGAGACAAATCTAAATCGTCTTCGAGTCGCTTTTGCACATACATTTTTTTTAACCTGATTGAATTCATTATATCTTCAGTTCATTATACATCAATACATCAATCAAGTTCATGCATATATGACATACTGTTCCCAATTTTAGAGGTTTTCTAAAACAATTATAAATATAATGTATTTGTTACCAAATAATATATATACAGCAACTATATATGAATCAACTTACATATTAAGAAGATAAATCTCCATTATCTTCAAGTTGCTCCTAAACATACATTATTTGAGCCTGTCTAAAGATCTGTATATTGTTCATCGTTTCATTCCAATTTTGTACGACTTCTGAAATAAATATGAACATGGCATACGTGTTTGCTGTTTATATATATTTGTATAGCTATTATATTTGTAGTGACTTACATATTCAAACAATCATTCTCGATCCGCTTCTCAACCGACTAATTTAAGAGATTTAAGAAGTGAGGTTATGTCGAACACATGGATATGTTAATGTCTTAATTTAGTAAAATAATTATTTTAACCTTGATAAACGATCCTTATTATTGTCCTCAGATTTTGTAAGATATGCTATTTGGTTACCTCCTTTGTCATCTAAAGAAATCGACATAAAATAACGTTTCTTCATCCCAGGATATAATGCACTAAATGGAATTCAAAATCGTGAAGTAATTACATATCTATATAAATAATATATGATATACTTACGGTGTCATTTTTCTACACTTTTCTACAATTATCATAAACAAGTTGCTTAACTAAACGAATGTAATTATTATACTAAAGAAAATATAACTTGATGCATGATAAATTCGTGACATATTGCGCCATTTTGTAAGCGGTTAGTTTAGCTTTCGTCAAAGAAACAGTCGGTTCCACCAGTGGCCACGGCGCGCTGATGTAAAGCTTTCTTTGTATGGTCACACACACCAGCACACAACGCACACAACGCAGCGCACGACGCGTTTGCTTCACGCCGTGTGACGTCATTGATTATGCTTTGCATGTGTGCTAACACACACCAGCGCACGACATGTATCTCACATGAAATTCAACGATGTCATTACCCCCGACAGCGCGTGTTTATGTCTCGTGAGACAACTCAATGCGAGCTTTGCGTGTATTGTAACACACACAAGCGCACGCAAGTTTAAAATCCTCTTGTGGCGTAGATTCGATAACCGCATTATAATAACGATGTCGATATTATAGAAGATCACATCGCGTGTTTACTGGTTTATATTCTAATTCTAAATTTAATTATATTTAAGAAGTGCTACCCCCCGAATTTTAAAAACCAATTTACTCTTGTCCTTTTGAATTAGAATTTTGTTTTGTCATATATAAAGAGGATTGTATATATTAAACTTTTAATATATGCAAAAAAACATGGCTTTACCATAAGAGTGTTATTTTGAAAGAAATCAAGAAATAAAGTATAACTGAATTTATTGAATAAATCAATAGTATTGTATGCAAATTTCTCCACACTTTCAAAGTCAAGTGCAATGCCTTTAAAATTTAAATTTATTTATGTGTGCGTTAATATATATATTACACATATATATATATATAATATATTTATATAATGTATATATATATTTATTTATATATGTATATATATAAATATAAACTTATCCATGCATAAAAACATGCACACACACATACAAGCAGATACCACACATATATATATGCCTTGAGTTAGGATTACCCTTAAAGTATTCGATTTGATGAAATTTTAGTGATATAATAATCAAAGATAAAATATTATAAATTTAGATTCATATTACCTCAAATAGGCAGCCGTCAAAGTCTGTTCCAGAGTCAAACATTTATCCGTAAAAGCACACAGAATTTCACCAGCTCCTTGTCCAATTATAACAGTAGGCTCAACTTTTAAACTTTTCAAAAGTTGTACAATGCCAATCTGGACAACTGTCGAAGCCACGTGCTTCCTACTCAAAATTTCGGGACGCTCCAAAATCTACATCCTCAACCATCTTTAGCAATTGAATACTGAACTTAGCCAAAAATTTATTACTACGTTCTATCACTTCTTGGAATACAGGGAAAACAAGCAAACCTCTAGCCAAAGTAGGGTTATAATCATACCCAGAGAATAGAAAAAACAGTTTCTTTTTGGACACGTTGTCAATCATAGCATCACTTCGCGATATTTCGTAACCACGTTTATCCAAAACCCAAAACCACGATAATCATGCCCTTCAACGCCGTTCTTAAAAGCTGCTTGAACGAGTTGGACACGTCCAAATTTATTTCATCACCGGTATTGGCAGGTTTTGGGTAAATAATTGAGATTCCTGATGAATTCCATCAAGGAGCATATCAACTGCAGATTTTGTACGTCCAGAAACACAAATCAGGTAAGGAATTTTAAGCTCTGATACATTATTCTCAACGCGTTTTCTAGCCAGAAGATCTTCAGGTGATTTTAATAAAACGTGCACGTTTGCACCTCCAAAACCAAAGCTGTTAATACCAACATACCCTGTAAGTGAAAAAAATCAACTCTGATGTAGCAGTTTAGTTTTGGGGTTTTTAGTTTAGGGTATTTGAGAACTTACCTCCCATCAAATCTTGTGGTTCAGTCACGACTTGCATTCTGCCTTCAACAATAGCAGTCAATTCCTTTTTAGTGTTTCGAAATGAAGATTTGGTGGAATTTTTCCTGTTTCCATAGCTATGCACACTTTGACAACAGAAGATATACCTGATGCCGGTTCTCCATGTCCAATGTTAGATTTCACAGATCCAATGGGAAGAGGTTTGTCACGACCAGTGCAGAATATCTAGTAAAATTGAAGTATTAATTCTTACAGTCGAATAAATTGTATGCTTCAAGCTTCCAGGTAATATTTTCAATTCTAAATATTAATCTTTCGTTATTTGATCTCTTACCTCATCTAAAGCTCTAATCTCCTCTGGATCTCCAACTCTTGTACCAGTTCCATGAGCTTCCATAAATGTGACTTTTCTAGGATCTACCTCACATTCTTGATAGGCTTCTCGTAGAAGTTTAGCTTGCATTGTTCCTGAAGGAAAGGTAATGCCTTGTTCTTTGTAACCATCACAATTTGATTTTGCGTGGACAAGTTGTGCGTAGATCCTTTTTGCATCTTTTGCCTGTTGGAGGAGGATGAAGGAAACGCCTTCACTGCGGGCGTAACCGCGGGCACGTTCGTCAAAACACCTTAAGGAAGAAAAAGGCTATGACTATTGAAAAATGTATTTGGAAAGAGTGGTACTCCTTCACTAAATATTACTGAGTAAAATATAACATAACAATTCTGTAATAAAAAACATAATTGGAAAACAAATCATTACTCTGACAAACCAATTATAGTATTTTACCAATAAAAACAAATTAAAATTACTTAACTTAATAATTTCGTTTTACTTTAAAGATCGAAAAGATCTGTATCTACCTGCATTTTCCGTCCGGATTCAGTACTCCCAATCTTGAGAATTGTAAGGAAACAAATGGATGTAAACATAAATTGGCACCTCCAATTAGAGCCTGGTCGCAATAACCATTCCTGATAGCTCTGTATCCATGCTCCAGAGCCATCAAACTACTGCTGCATGCACTGTCCACAGAATAAGAAGGACCTAGATACAAATATTATTTAAATTATAATAGTGATTTCATAAAAATAGCACACAGGATCCTGCAAATGAATTTCTGAAATATTACTTTTAACAATACTTTAAATGTGCTATGTGAAATTGAGATTGCAATATATTGCAAAACAATTAAACAAAATAAAAAACATAAGAATATTTTTTTAAAAATTAATAAGTTAACTGAAAGTATTTGCAAAATGTGTGATTCCGAGTTGAACAAAAAGCCTCAAAAAATATATACATCTTAAAATTTTTTACCTAAAGACCCTCAATAGAAATCCACATGTTTTTCCAATTTATATGTATTTTAACTACACATCCAACTATTGGCACTAGATATAATTTAACAGTTGTAACATAAATTCAAACTTTAGTATTGAAAAAAAAACATGAGTAAACAAAAAATGGAATCAGGTATGAGTTATTTTCTTTGTCCAAAAGCAACTGTTCATTATTTAATGTTTTCATAGATTTTTTTAGAGATTAATCTGTATAAATGTAATAAATTTAATTATAGTTTATTTAAATTGTGCAATAATTTAAAAAAAATCTTATTGAATTTAAAAATCTTATTTGAATTTAATCTCATTAAATTATTGAAAAAATGGTAAATATTTATTAATAAAAAAATTTATATACTGCAAATAAAGATATAAGTTAAATTTTATCCGTAGAAATATCACAAATTTACTGACCATATGTTAAGATTAATCATATTTTCACCATTACAAAAATCATGTTAAAAAGAGGTCAGTGACATATGTATGTAATATTATCGCTGATTTTAGTTTATTAGGTTTGTGGTGTTCTATGTCACCATACGATGACACATTTTTCATATACTTGCAAGTTGCAATTGTAACAGAAATTTCACGCCGGAAAATTTTAACGAATGTAACGCCAATATTAGTTTAAAAGCTTACTGTAAAACTAATTAATTGAGAAGATTACATTATTATAGATTTGTAAAATATCTAGCAAATTTGTCCAAACAGTTTTTAATAAAGTTTTCCTGAAAACATGTTTAATTTGTTTTGAAGGTAAATTAAATGTTAACCCCTTCGACTCGAATGCCGCCGCTCCGGCGGCAAATTTATATAAATCTTGCAGTTCGCGAGTGAAAAGGGTTAACACTGAACAAATGTACAAGATATGTATATCAGTTTACTTCCTTAATAAACCTTATAAAAATAAATATTATCTTCATTACCTGATAACTCGAGCCAATTCGAGACACGATTAGCCAGCATGGACCTGCTGCAGCCCAAAATACCAGAACCGTGCTGCAGGTCGTAAATCCAAGTTTTTTCGGATTCACTGAAGCAGGCGCCAATAATTACACCAGTTCTAGAACCTTTTATTTCTTCTGGCTGTATACCAGCATCAATCAAAGTCTCCACGGCAACTTCCAGGAGAATACGAGCCAGAGGATCCATACTGTCGGCCTGAGAAAGGAAATTTGGATAAATTTGATAAATGATTGAAGAGAATTTTCTTAAAAGAATATGTCTAGCAACTCAAAATATTTTTACATTTTATAAAATTTTATTACATCGTGATGTAAATTTTATAACTAGTAATTATTATAAAGAAAATGAACATTATTCCATGATTATAATAATGCCATAACTAATTTAACCCTTTCGACACGGATGCCGCCGTAGCGGCAGCAAAATACGTATAAAATACGCAATTCGCGAGTGGAAAGGGTTAATAATTTTCCATTAGATTTAGTACGTTTGATTATTAAATAATATGATATTTTTTATATTTAGAATAAACTATGTATGTATAAAATTTAGGTGCTCCATGGAGTAAAACTTAAACGTATCGCGTTGCGTGGATCTGATATCATGCAGAAGCGATGTCTATTTTCACTTGAAAATATAGATCAAATTATGTTTCCAGTTGAAAATAGCTCATTTCGGGCACTGCGATGTGGAATGGCAATGCGAATTCTCTCACACCATCTTTTCACTGAATCGAGTTGGAGTTTAACTGAGCTCATGGACCTGCTCTAGAGCAATACTATCCATTATTATTTATTATGTATAGAGTTGGGGTTTAACTCAGCTCATGTATAGAATAATTTTTCTGATATTTTATATAATTTAATACATATGTTTGTTCTATTTATTACTTTTTACATAACACTATTTTTACATTTATTATGTTTTATTTATTATATTTACTTTATGTTAATAATTATGCTTTATCTATGATATATTTACCTGTTGATCTTCTATTTTAAAGTAATCTGCATCGAACTTAGTGATTTCTAATAGTTTTCCTGTTCTTTGAGGAATTTCAGGATGATCCAAAAACCAACGTCTATCATCTCCTGACACCATGTCGACCTAAATAATTGAAACAAATTAATAAAATTTATTAAAATTGTATCTTAAGATAATTGTTGCTGAATCTTTCGGTTTTATTAATTATTAGACAGTTTTACAATGTAGAAATTTTAAATATTAAATTTTACAAAATTGTTGAAGAAAATTGTATATTTTCTGGTGTGATAATCATCAATACAAAGCGACATCAATTATTTTTACTCATCATCACAATATAATAATAAATTATTTTTTTAAATATTTTGTACACATAGTACTTAGTACAGATACATAGTATAGAAATCCAAGAATGTTAAATGTAAAAAATCTAAGAATATATTTATAATAACACTAATAATATAAACCAAATTTCAAATCAAACCAACTTCATTAAAATTCGAATAAGATTTTCTAAAAATATATAAAAAATTAAGTTCTGAACAGTTGAATTCTTTGTTCGGATAAATGTTTATAAGAATTTTGCACAGTCTCATTTATTGGTAAAATCTCAAAACTTAGAAAAATATTTAAACGTGATATTAAAATATCACTAAAAAATTCTTCAATTTACATAGATCAAATATTAACAATCGACCTCATATAGTTCCTTTAGCACTTTATACAACTCTAAAACAACCGGACCTGCCTTCAACAAAAACAGTTGGGCTCTAGGCATAATCAGAACAAATCAAATCCTTATTTTTGTTGAATCCTTTCATACAAACATACATCCCAAACACTTTAATTAATTACATTTCTAGTTCTGAATCACGACTATCAAGACCTGATAGTCCTGATTCAGGATCAGGACTGATATTTCCAATATCAGTCATTTTCATTGTGCTAGCGAAAATTCACAATAAATTTATTATATTTATACAATGTTTACCTTGTTCAACAAATTTTCCTTAAAGTGCAAGACACTGGAGCTGTCTGGAAAACGTCCAGACATTCCAGAGATGACTACTTCTTCGCCTGGTGCTTGCGGCTGGACAATCACGGTGCTCGTTGGTTCTTCCGGCATTTTGGGCAATGTCTGGTTGTCGGCTGAGACTTTGAAAATAGAAAATAAATGATACTAAAGATTTAATTGGAAATTATGACGTATGTTAGCTACTAGTACTATTTATAGTACAGCATAATAAATTTTTAGTATTTAATGTGTGAATTTTTATAAATTTGTTATTAAATTTCTATCAGAATAAATCATTTTTTTATTCCAGTGAATAAGTGGTCAAGTCAAAGCAATAAATTTCGATGGTTAATTTTGTTTAAAATAAAACATACAGGCCAGTAATGTATTACGTTGTGCTGTAAATTGAGAAAGTACTAAAGCTTCTGTTAATTTGGATGAATCAAAAGTCTTTATTGATAATAAATTTAAGTTAGAGAAACAAATACTATGCAACCACACATCAAAAATCGGAAATAAACGGCATTGATTTATACAACTTTCGAATTTCCGAATTTTTGAAGCTTCGATTTGCAAAAAAATGTAAAGTTCGTTCAGCAAAAATTCCAAATTTACGTGAAAGTTTTAATTCAATCTAATTCTATTCTAACATATCACTCATTAATTGCCAAAATTTTCATTATCACACATTAAGTTGAAAATTTTAATTTTTAATTTTCAGACACAAAACTTTAAGAATGTATGCAAACTTAAATTAGATTTATTTATTAAAAATATTTGAAAGTAGAGGGTTAACAATGTGTAACCAGCCCTTGATTCCTGTGACGTCGCCACCAGAAAATAAACGACATTGTTTGAAAATCCATAACATATAAAGTGTTTTCTTTCGTTGTTAGTTTTTTGGTTGTGAGCACTGTTGTTTAGTTTACGAGACCATAATTAAATTTTTAAGTATACGTTATTTAATTGTTTCATAATATATATTGTTAATTTTAAAATAGATTCAACAGTTTATTTTAAAATTCAACAGTTTATTTTAAAACCTCTGTAAAAGCTTACACCTGGGTGGGGTAAAAAAAAACAACTGAAACTTTACTCTGGCAAAGGTGTATACTATGAGAAAGTAGTAAATAAAAAAATAAATTAAGTTAAATAAGCAATACAAAAGATAAATTAAATAAATAGCTATTTCAACTATGCTGATGAATGTTTCTGACAAAATACCAGATCAAGGTTATATACAGTGTTATCTTTGCGAAAAATGTACCCATAAAATTTATATTTTGCATTGATTGAATAATGTAGCTATTATTTCACAAAATCCCTTCAACTAAAATACATTGGATCTGCTCGTTCCCCGGCTATCCCATTGTAACCCGCCCATGGGGTAAAAAGGACCAAGTGATAAATTTTTGAAAAAAAAATTTAAAATATAAATACGTCTCTACAATGATGAATTAGCTGAGTAGTTTTACTGAACATAGTCCGACAGTTGTTTGTTTGATGTGTATTTTTTATGGTATAATTGGTTTGGTTTTCACAATTTGATTTCTCAAAGTTGAATTAGACCTTTGTGCCCCGACCTACCCTATTCGTTTAATTCAAGACTTAAAATAATAAAATTGATTTCACTTATATTCCAAAAGATTTTTTAGCGGTACTATAATATCGACACTTATAAAAACGAGCCATTATAAAATAAATAGTTCCAAAATAATATAATAAAATTATCAAAAACTTACAAAATTTGAAATCCACTTAACGTCCTCAGCGTTGCTGTGTTCACAGAATCGCAAAAAACGATTTTCAGAATTATTTTACCCAACTGCACTGTATGTATCCAATAAAATAGTAGATCAAAACCTTCAATAAATCTAAAATAATCGACAACAATCATTTATATATAAAACACCGTACATTGCGAATTACCATAAATTCAAATTCGACGATTTTAATTTAGAATGAAGTTAATCTCCCCATTATGTATTGGAAAAAATGTTCTGTGGACAATAAAAGAGGTCGATAACTCGCAATGAAATTTATTCAAGAAAAGAAAATGAATTAAACGTGTAAAATAATAGATGTACGTAGGCCGAGAGTTGGAGGATATTATTTAGGAATAGAAAGGAATAATTGAAATCCTTTTTAACTTTTCAGTTTATGCCAGAAAATCCGATTCGCTAATACATTGGCATAACTAAAAATATAATGAAAATTTTCATTTGAAAACAAATAAGAACTAACAACTAGTGGTGCAGAGCATCGTATTTTAGGGCAAATTGATAAAACGTACAGAAAATTATTTTTTTAAAAAATTAAATTAAATTTTTTGAAAACTGTAAAAATATTAGAATAAAGAATTTTTTGAAAAAAAAGACTTCTTGATTTTTTTTATATTTTGAATTTTTTAATTATTCTGAACTTTTTTTTAAAGTAACCGCGCTGCGTAGCTGTTTTAGTGACGAAATATCAAAGCGCGTAAGCGCCGCGTCGCCGTCTAACGGATAAACATTGGTACGGAACCCATAGGAATGTAAACAAAATTTATACTTATTGGTAAAATCTCTATAAAATATCTGATAATTTGATGTGCATATGTCTAATGATCATTTTTAACCGCCGAATGGCATTTTTTTTTTACTTTTTTCATTAGATCTCCGAAACCGCTAGACCTGCCTTCATGAGAATTTGATCAATTCTTCACCTTGTTAATACAAGTAAAATGTTTTTTGAATTATTCAAATTGGACGCTCTGTTCTCTTAAAAACTGAGCTACCGTTTGTGGCATTTTTTGCCCCGTATCTCCAAAATGGCTAGACTTGGCTTTGCCAAAGCTAATCAGCACGTCTCCTTGTCAGTAGGTATCGAATATTTTTCGTATTATTCAAATTGGTTCATCCGTGTTCGCGAAATCGTCGACGATAATTTGTATCCGCACACACACACATTCATTTCTTCTGAGGTATGCCAAAATGTTCAGAAACCTTCAAAACGTGAAGATATGCAAAAAATTTTATTTTCGATTTTCTATTTTCTTTACAGAATTTTCTATTTTCTCTACAGAAAAATTAAAAAATGCCATTCGGACTTTTTTACCCCATAGGTGGGGTAAAATGAGACGGCCAGGTGTCAAATATGTCCAATGTCTTATTTTTAATTTTAAAGAGATTTTACGAAATGACAACTACATTAAGCAACCAATGCATAATAAAATTTCATTGGTACATTTTTTACAGAGATAACACTGTCTATAACCTCGATCTGGTATTCCGTCAGAAATATTAACCAGCAGAGTTGGAATAACTATTATATTAATTTATCTCTTGTAAAATTGCTTTTTTTAACTAAATTTACATTTTTTTGCTATTTTTTATTGTATACGCACGTTTGGGTAAAATTCAGTTGGTCCTTTTTACCCCTTTTTGAATTTACATCTTATAACAATTAAGTAACGTATACTTAAAAATTATATTAAAGTCTCGTAAACTAAACAACGGTGCTCACAACCAAAACAAATAACAACGAAACAAAATACTTTTAATAAGAATTTTTAAACTGCCGTTTATCTCCCGATAGTGCGATCGTAAGAATCAAGGTGATGACTGGTTACGGATTTTTTACCATCTACTTTCAAATATTATTAGAAAATTCTTTAATTTACTTGTTTTTGTTATATCGGTGCTAGTCCTTTTTACTTGCGGACCTTTAAGCCCCGTTCTACTCTATGTAGTAATAGACAAAAATAGTGTTTTTCAGCCTACTATCAACAAATATATAGGAAAATATTTTGGAAAAAATAACATCAAGTAAAATTGAAACTTTTTTCTTATATTATATGCAAAATGAAAAATGTAAAAAAAATATTTATGTAAGTAAGTATTTAATAAGTAAAAAAGAAAGCCACTTCATTACATTTATCATATGTAAAATAAAAAATGTAAACAAAATTATATATGTAAATATGTAATAGCCTTCTCTCATCTAATATATGTATATGAATCAAATAAAGATTCTTTCATTTTTGTTTGATATTGTCTTGTAAGACATATTTCAATGTCTAAATCAACTAACATTTATACATATTATAATATATTATATTATATATATATATATATATATACATATGATAATTATAACTATTAAACAGATATATCCATCAATGTGTTCAATCAGCAATTTGAATAAAATTTAATTATGCTTAGTTTGCTGTCATTACTTTACGAATTTGGTTCACATTTAATCGATTTAAATAATTCGCATTTTTATTAGGTCAAATGTACACAAGTTTCTTGTAATTTTTACCTGTGTTTGAAATAGTCTATTCATTTCATTAGTATAAAGTAGAATATTCAAATTTTATTACAATGTTCAAAGAGAAAAGAATTAATTTAGAAATTGATCTAGAATTTTTAATTTGAATTAGGTATTTCATATGTATATTTAAAATTTATGCCATATTAATTGTGATTGTTTTTTGATTTTTGTTTTTTATTTTATATGTAGATAGTTACAGATTAATTAACGCTTAAAACTTAAACAATAATAGTTACTACTCTGTCTTTATTATAATTTTGTTATTAAAAATATATTGTATTGAAAGTGTTTTCGAACTTTAGAAATTAGTAAAATTTTAACAGTCAAATTAAATTCAATTTTGACTAATTATTTATATATACATTTTTTCATATGAAAGCATTTATTGAATAAGAATAAATAAATAGTTGTGCAAGGCTCAGTGCTTCATGGCAAATTGCTGGAACTTCCCGTACCGTAAAACCAAAATTTTGAAAATTTTTGAATTTTTTTTCTGAGAATATTGAATTTTTTTTTAAATTTTCATTTTCGATTTTTTGCGATTACAATAACTTACCCTACAAAAGTGAATAATTTATTTATATATTTGTTATAATTAAATGAGAAAAAAAACTTCACTTGAAAGTTTTTGAGTTTTAAAATTAAAAAATACAAAATATAATATTTTAAAACTGTATTTGGAATATCAGATGAATTGAATTATAATCATGGATTTGTATAAGAATTGATTTGTTCATTACAATTTTTTACACTGATAAAAT